GTTTGAACTGTGTGGGTCCACTTATATGTGGATTTTTTACAGTACAGGACTATAAATATGTTTTCTCTTCCCGGTGATTTGATCATTTTACTTTATTTTATTTATTTATTTATTTGACAGAGAGATAGAGCCAGAGAGCACAAGCTGGGAGAATGGCAGAGGGAGAAGGAGAAGCAGGCTCCTCGTTGAGCAGAGAGCCTGATGTGGGGCTCAATCCCAGGATCCTGGAATCATGACCTGAGCCAAAGTCAGATGCTTAACCAACTGAGCCACCCAGGCGCCCCCCGAATGATTATTTTAAAACATTAGTGATATCACTCCTCTTTTCAAAACACAATGACTCTACATTTCACTCCAGAGTTAAAGCCAAAGTCCTTAGAAAAGTACACAGGCACCCTAGATGCTGTACTGGTCAGTTTTACTCCTGTATCAGGACATTTCCGTTTGCTCTTTTCTCTGCTTGGAATATACTTCCTCCAGATCTTGTATGACTCATTTCATCATACTTTTCAGGGTTTTGTTCATATGTCATATTTTCAGAGGAGGCCTCTGACTACTCTTTTTAAAATTGCAGCCCCTCCTTAGTTCGGGCTTTGTCTGTCCTGCTTCCTTGCTTTATTTTTCCCCATAGCAATTATCATCATCTGACATAAGATATATTTTGTTTATTGTCTGTGTGCAAAGCTCCATAAAAGCATAGTTTGGAAACTGGGTTTTTTGTGACTTTATCCCTGTAACAGGGCTTGATAGATTAGACCTTCAGTAATTATTGGTTGAATTAATATTAGTCTACAAATAATGAATTTGTTTACGACTGTGGGTTTGCAATGATTATTGGAGAGTATATTGGTTATCTATTGCTATTTTATAAATTGCCCTAAAACTCAGTGGCTTAAAACAATAAACATTTATTATCTCATGGTTTCTGTGGGTCAGGTATCTCAGCTGGATATCTCTGGCTCAGGATCTCTCACTTCTGTAATCTGAGTGTCAGGGCAATAATCATTTCAAGGTATAACTAGGATAGGATCTATATCCAAGCACATATGACTGTTTACTGGCCTTAGGACCTCACTGAATATTGGCTGAAGATACCAGTTCCTTTTGTGTAGTTTTCTCCCTGGGGCAACTCACAGTGTAACAGAGTAAAGGATACAGAAGCCAAGGTCTTTTGTAACCTAATCTTGCAAGTGACATTCCATCACCTCTACCATATTTTGTTCACTAGAAGTGAGACACTAAATCAAGGCTGTAAAAAAGGGAAGGGGATTATACAAGGGTATGATTACCTCAAGGTAGGGATCATTGAGGAATACCTAACACAGTTGACACTGGAGACGACCTCCTCCTGGATGACTAAACTCAAGATAAATGTATCTCAATGTCAAATATACGTTAATACTGTTATTCTGTAGACAAAGGACATTATGTGTTCCTTCCCAGTTTTACTATGTATGTGAGAGTTCCTCTAGGATCCTTCCTAGGTGTAGAATTGGTAGCTCTTAGGGAATGCTCATTTTCAGCTTTATCAGTATTGCTGGATTATTTCCCAAAGTGGTGAAATAGTTTACAATCTCACCAGTAATATATACAATTTCCTTTTTTTCTACATCCAAACTCACTCTTAAGAGTTTTCATACATTTTAATATTTGCTGCTTTGATGAGTGTGAAATAGTACCTCATGTTTTAATCTGTATTTCCTGAACCTAATTACTGATGAGGTCCAACATCCTGTGTTAGCCTGTGTGTGTGTGTGCGCGCGTGTGCGCACAGATGCGCACAACTTTCCTGTTTTTCCATTTTTCTATTGTCTTGCTCATTTTGTAAAAGTTTTTAAATAAATTCTCCATACTAATTATTATCAGGGTTTAATCAGAGAGGCAGAACCATATAAGTAATACAGAATCTCAGATTAATTATGGGAATTAGAACTGATGCGGTGGTGAGAGCCAGTGGAGGGGTTTTTACAAGGCTGTTGCCTTGCCATCTGGTACTGAGAGTTTTCAGTAGAGTAGGAAAGCTGGATGTGGAGTAGGGGAGAGCAAAAACCAACTGGAATTGGGAAGGATGCACTGGAATCATGTCTATAAACTAAACCCTGTGCCTGTTTGTCACTGTCTATAATTAAGATGACATGGATGACTTATGGGAGAAATTGGTGCCCTTCACTGTGGAACTAAACATTCACCTGATCCAATACTCCAGAAAGCTAAAGAACTGGTAGAAGTTTAAATAGCTATAGGTCCAGGTGTTGTTCCTTATCAATAAAGCAAGCCAGAAGATCAGCAACGGCATACGCAAGCTGCACAGTGCCCAGTGTTTTATGCCAGCCTTCCAAGTACAAAAAGGTTGCTATTTTATGTCTACCATCCCTATATAATACATATCTGTCTTGTAGTTAACCCTAATCTAAAACCACAGAGGGAAGGAATTCTGGAAAATGTAGTTGAAGCCTAGCTAAATTGACACTTAGAAAGCCACAGTAATCCACGACTTGCCAATTTGACATAAGTGTACATCTTTCCTAACTTTATTTGTATTTCAAATAAAGACAATAACAAAAATATGCTTTTACCTAACATAATGCAACTTTCCCTCAAAAAACTAATACGTCCTGTCCCTAAAAAAGTACACGAAATCCCTTTACAAACCATGGCAGGGTGACACTGTCAACTTCTAGTTTAATGGAGGCATTTATGTGATCCCTAGTAGAAGCCTAAGACCTCTAGACCAGCAAAACCCAAAGTTATAGAAAGAATATTTCTCTAGTGGATCACTAGAGGTAATTGTGATAGGACCCATTCTCATCTCTACTTGTTGATTCCCAGGCCTGAAATTCCCAGCTCTGGGAAAATAGCACTATGTATTTGTTGGTCATTTAGAGCATGGAAGACATTACCTCAGCCTGGCAAGGTAGTGTTATCCAGCTGTTGCCATAACTAACACTTTTAAAAGGTTATTGCACCATTCTATCAGTGATAGGTGATAGGAAAATAGTAAGATCAGTGAATTCCGTAAGCATGAATCCATTAATGTATTTCATTTGCTATAAAGTAAGTGTCTTAGTCAGGATCAGTGCTTTGTTGTGTACCAAGGTACTAAATAAGGCATTTAGCAAGTTCATGGATGATGGTATTCATAGAAAAGTTGCAGGGACAGATGGTAAATCTACATTGTTAGTTAAGTGTCTGTTCAAGTGATAGCAAACCACTGCCCTTTCCATGATTGAAGTGGTTCAAGGAATGCTGCTAAATATAGGTGCATTTGTGGCCTGTCCGTTGGTAGATTGGTTGTACTCATCAGTGTCTAGAGTCAGACTAGTCTTAATGGGTGCAAGTCCATTTTGTGAGCCCATACGTAATCATCCCTGCTGTTGTGATCACTTATGTCAGAGGCATTGAGAAGGCAGAGGGGTGGCTGAGAAAGAGAGTAATAGCCATATGAATGGGTCATCTTGTCCACCTGATTATTAAGATGATATTCTGCTTACTACTCTTTTATGTGTATTTATATGGGACCTGAATATCTTCCCACTCAGTGCCCATTTAGAGAAGTCTGTTCACATAATGCATCCCAAACTTACTGTCACCAATTTTGCAGTAGTGTTCCTTTTAATTCCCTGATCAGCTTGTCATGCCATTAGTTGGTCCCCATGACTTGGTATGGAATTGTACCTGTGGTAATTTTTCCTTCCAAGTAAAATGAGCAACTATGTGTTCTACTTAAAGTACAGTCCACCAGGAAGATTTCCCATTGTCTTCAGTGTCAGCTTGGAATTAAACTGTATAGCTGAAGCCCTCCACTTTCAGTTATGGCCAACTGGTTTCGCAGAACCAGATTTGAATTCTTTCTTCCTCAGTCCACTTGTAATAGGAAACTCCCCATAGGGCCATATACACCTGTATACCCTACTAAGTTCAAAGTGAATGAAACTTTCCCAGACACACAACTTGTAAACTGTGGAACCAGGAGTCATACTTTATTTTTTTTTTTAAGATTTTATTTATTTATTTGAAAGAGAGAGACACAGCGAGAGAGAGAACACAAGCAGGGGGAGTGGGAGAGGGAGAAACAGACTTCCCGTGAAGCGGGGAGCCCGATGTGGGACTAGATCCCAGGACCCTGAGACAATGACCTCAGCCGAAGGCAGACGC